CTCCGATAGTTGTTGGTCTTAATAACCTGATCCTGTATTGCACAGACAAAACCCTCGGTTTCCCCGAAGAGGTCACCAAAACGTAGCCAGTGGAGGGAGGCAACTGTATCTACGAAAGGCTCATGTAGAGCCTTGTAGAACCTCCCGTGGAGCTCCTTCTCCTTCCATACGGTCTCCCGGTCGGAAATGCTCTGTACTTCCGGGTCTTGCCATTGCTCGTTGGCTAAGGATAGAGGGGTAAGTCCTTTATCACAAAAAATAACGTCCCTATAGAATGGATCATCCGCTCTCGCCAGAAAATAATTACGGAGGCTGCACACTTCGCGATTATGCAAGGTAAGCGCGCTTAAAAAGCCGCGCCCACCATGCTACCGCGGCAAGTACAGCCTCATTACCGACGATCTCGGATGATGCACTCTGTGGGACGTCATTATAGTGCGGACTTTTCTGTCCAGAGCGTTCAGTTCGGTCTGAGTCCACCTGAGTATGCCAAAGGTATACATGAGAACAGGCATGATCCAACCGTTATAAGCGTGTGTCTTATTAACGCCCGACAAAAGACTGTTAAGCATTTTTGTCAAGCGTGCATAAAACACATCGCAAACTGACTGCCTCATACCCGCCTCATCGACACCGATGTTCTGTGACATACCCAGGTATCGGTATGTTTCAGCCTCGGAAAGGGTCCTTATGCTGATGGGCATAGATAAGTCTATGCCCTCAGAGTTAGCAACCCTTCCCCTTTCGACATGGAGGATCGCACACTTATCCGTCCCCAGCTCCATTCCAATAGAATTGCTAAAATCACAAGTGATGTTTAGCAATTCCACAAGATGGGAGCGACTGGAGGCGAATAACTTGAGATCATCCATATAGAAAAGGTGGGTCACTTTTGTACCTCCTTTCCGAAGCTGAAATCCCCCTCCGGAACCCTCCAGTAAGGTACTGAGAGGATTCAGAGAGAGGCAGAACCAGATTGGACTCAAACAATCGCCCTGGAAGATACCCCTTCTTATCCTTATGTGGTTCTCCGCAGCCGTCATCCGCTGGCCTAGATGACAAAGGATCGTACTCCACTGCCCCATACACTGCCCGAGGAAGTCTCGAACTGTACAGTCGACCTTGTACAGCTCGAGGACCCTCTTAAGCCATGTATGAGGCACCGAGTCGAATGCCTTTTTGTAGTCTATCCAGGCGGCGGAGAGGTTCCGACGGTTGCGTTTAACCACCTTGCCAATGACCGCGTCAATGAGGAGTGGTTCCTTGGTTCCACGACCACCGCCCCGACATCCATTTTGAGCGCGCGACATCACCTGATTTGAGTTCAGGTGACGAGTGATTCTCGCGCTCAAAATGGATGTTAGTGTCTTGTATATGGTAGGTAGACACGTTATGGGGCGGTACTTGCTGGGGTCTGTGGAATCCCGGTCTTTAGGAACCAAATGAGTGATCCCAGTAGTGAAGAGGCTCGGGAGCGACTTTTGGTCGAGAGCCTCTTGAAACTGTCGGGCGAGCACAGCGTGACACACCACGAACCCCTTCAGCCAGTAGTGATGCAGTCCGTCGAGCCCCGGACTTTTCCAGTTCGGGGCCCTACGGACCGCCTCAGCTACGTCATCCGGCGTTATGATGACGGGGTCCATGGGCGTAATATTCGCACACTGACTCGCCACAACTTCCGTCCAAGGGCCCTCGCTGTGGTTTACGGGCTCTGACCACAGGCCGCGCCAGAATGCGATAGTGTCGGCCTGTTTCGGTGCTGGGCCCGTTCCACGTACCATTGGTCGCTCCAATGATTCATAGAGCCTCTTCTGATCACTCTGGAAGAGACGATTCTGGTTGAACCGTGTCGACCTCTCGGTATATCGCCGAATCCGCTTCCCCCAAGCAGCGATTCTCTGCTTCAGGTCGTCTATGCGCTCCGTCAGTTTTTGCGTTATATCTGGCTGGGACAAACTGATATTTGTCCCAGCAAACGCCATCCTGACGGTGCGCACAATTCTCGGCCTATTATTGCCCGACCTGAAGCTTATTAGTCTGCCGATGAGGACCCTTGTCTTTGCGATACGGTCCTCAATCCTTCTTCTCCAGGCTGGGATGGCGCTACTTTGTCTAGTAGCGCGTCCAGCCGTGGGAAGTTTGACGCCAATAATACGGCAAACTGCCAGTGCGGCGCCAAAAAGAATTGAGTCCGTCTCGCAAAGGTCCCGGCTGGCTTCCAAATAGGTCACCAGCATTGGGTTAAGAGCCCTCACGACAGCCCGATTGCGCTTGCTTAGGGGTATGCGCGGTAGTCGCGGTCGACTTTCGAGAGGCGTACTGCGCGTTTCCACAATCGCCTCCTCCAATTTACTCCTCATCTGCTCTAGTTCTTGGGTGACTATTCCATCATCGTCTGAATCAACTACAACTGGAAAATCCGCGGCGGCATCGACGTGTGCAGATTGTTCTGCAATTTGTGGCGTCGCATTACCAGCTATAGCATTTTCATCCGATGAGGGAACAGCCTCACGTCGTAGTCGTTCGAGTTCGGCGTCACCAAATATGTTGGAGCGCAGGATGTACCGAACTCGGTCTGCCAGGTTTTGCTCTGATACATGAACAGATGGCTCCAGCTCCGCGAAAAAGCGATGCATCCGAGCCCGATACGCCAACATTCCAGTTTCTTCCCCTTTTGCCCTAAAATACGCTCGCAATGCGTTTGCGTTCATCATTTTTGTCCAACGCATGCGACGTGTTCCACCAGTGGCGGGTGCCGCTTGCTGAGTCCGAGAAGAACCAGCCGACACCAAGCCCTCTGGTGGGGATGATGGATGCGGGCGGCTACTAGGTGGTCTTGCAGCCCCCCGCGCTTGACTGGCGACCCGCATGCTGTCGCGTCCAGCGCCAGCTCCAGACGCGCCCTGGCGACCTCCAGGCAGCGGCCCTTTGCGCACTCTTTTAATGTCCATCATCCATTGTATGGGCGTCAATTAACGGGAGACGCCCAGGCCCGGCACCGTTTCATGGTGCGGCCATAAGCACAGACGGACCTTTGCACCCTCAATTCTGCCAAGGCACGGCGCACACACCTCTTGGCAAGGCACTGACTGACTGCACTGACGTAGCAGTTTTGTCACTTAACTGTTACGTCAGCGGGCGGTGGGGTCGTCACTTCCCTACGCCAATTTATTATTATTATTATTATTATAAGTACACCTTCAGGTCACTCTATCAAGTCCGCAGGTAAAGTCTTATCATAAATAACAAAACAAGCGAAGATAATTATCTAATTATATGCATAGATAATTATCTAATTATATGCATAGGAGAAAATGACACTAACCCTAACAAAATAATAATAGAATTAGTATCAATGCTAAAATATTTAAAAAAAACTAAAATATTAGTATTTAATGTTTTACAGAACAGGTACTTAAATGAAAGTATGTTAAATAACAATTTAAAAATTATATGTAACAACTTTAAAAATTGCTCATTTATAAATGTAGAATGTGACTATCCGTACCATAAATACTACTACTTATTAGATGTATGTAAAAAAATTAATTTTAAGATTGACTCAAATTATTATGAAAATAAATTTTTATGTCCTAAAAATATGTTATTGTTAAGGAAAAAGGCTAAAATAGAATGCACAACTATTCCTAAGAAGGGAACAATTCCTTTTTACTTTAAGTCTTGTAAAAATGTACATTCAGGGGATAATTGCCAGGAAGTAAACTCTACTACGGCGTTTTTGAACAAAATGGAAATAGTAAATACCGAGACTCATAAAAAGGGAACCATACCTTATTATTTTAAAAAGCCAATACCGTGTTTAAATAGACAACCTGACCCACAGTTGCCTTTACAAGCGAAAACATGTTTTCGTCCCTAACTCTAAATTCAATTTTAGAATATTTCACCAGAACATCGCCGGCGCTGTAAATAAAACTGAGGAACTATCATTTGCAATCCAAGAGTTGTCACAAAAAGATCCAAAGATAGATATGGTGTGTTTGACAGAAACTTTCATTAAAAAAGGTACAGAAATGCTTTTGAAAATACCTGGTTACAAACTAGTTGCATCGTATTCACGGGACACTAAACGAGGAGGGGTATGTATAATGATAAATAATAATTTGATATACAAAAACGTGACTAATATTAATGACTTAGCATGTAAATTTAATTTTGAATGTTGTGGCGTAGAAGTAAATAAGATTATAATCATTTGTTTATATAGAACTCCTAATAGCAATCCACAAATATTTCTTGAAAAGCTAAAACAGTTACTAGCAAGACTTACTAGAAAACATAAAAAAATTATTGTTTGCGGTGACTGGAACTTGGACATCTTAAAGCCAAACAAGAGTTGCGAAGAGTTACAAAGTATGTTTAAAAACTATAACATTGAGTTGCACATTCAGACACCAACAAGACAATTGTCATGTCTCGATCAATTTGCAAGCAACATCAAGCAAGTTAAAGCGGAAATACATCACCTTGCCTTGTCTGATCACGAAACGGGACAAACACTTTCGCTCAAAACTACAAAATCGTACGAAATATGCTCTTGGTATGAGGATGTCAGAGATTATAGTAAAGAAAACATGGACAAGTTCTGCAGTTGCGTATCATCTCTTACTTTCTCAAATGTATACGAAAAAAATAACTTGCAAGAGGCGTTTATCGAATTTTATGATTTATTTAAATTATTTTTTGATCTTTGCTTCCCAATAAATACAATAAAAAGGGCAACTAAAAAAGGGAACCATAAATGGTTGACGAAGGGCATTAGAAAATCCTGTATAAGAAAAAGATATCTCTATCTTAGTCAACAACATAATAAAACAAACAGGAAAACAATCAATAAAACATATAAAGCATACAATTCCATACTTAAAAAGTGCATATATAAATCGAGACAATTACAAAGTAAGAATTATATTGAAAATAATAAAAATAAATGTAAAGCCACATGGACGGTTATTAATGAAAATATTGACGACCAAAACATGAAAAAGCAAATTGACAAAATAATTAAAAATAATCGGATATATGACGACCCAAAAAAAATTTGTGACATATTTAATGAATTTTATATACAATTGACAAATGAAAATAATTTTAAATATAATGTTAACGAAATAAACAAGACTATAAATACTAATAATGAATATACAATATTCCTTAAACCTACTGATGCAATGGATATATTTCGGATAATTAACAGTCTTAAGAACACAAACGCAGTAGGGTTTGACAACATCACAACCACTGCAATAAAATTATCTGCACCATACATATGTCAACCGCTATGTTATTTGATTAATATGTCTTTTGAAGAAGGTACTTTTCCAAATATATTGAAAAACTCTATTGTAAGGCCACTTTTTAAGAAAGGCGACGCATCTGATATGAATAACTATAGGCCAGTGACGCTTATACCCATCTTGTCAAAAATCTTCGAAAAGACTATGTTGAAAAGACTTCAAGAATTTACAACAAGTCATCGTATTCTTAAAGATGAGCAATTTGGGTTTAAACAAAATAGTACAACTTCATTAGCATGTTTTAACTTGATTAAAATAGTCACCCAGGCTATAAATGATGGCTTACCAGTTGCGGCAGTCTTCCTGGACATGAGCAAGGCGTTTGATTTCGTGGACCACAAACTACTCTTATTCAAATTAGAAAAATATGGAATAAGAGGTAAAGCTAACGACTGGTTGAGAACTTACTTATGTGACAGACAACAATGCGTGGAAATATCTAAAATCCATAAAGGCAAAAAAGTTTTATATAGAAGTGACTATCAGTCAATTAATTTTGGCGTGCCACAAGGCAGTATATTGGGACCATTTTTATTCCTCATTTATATTAACGATCTCCCTAATATCACTCGCCATAACACAATCTTGTTTGCTGATGACACAACCGTTATCGTGAAATGTGAAAATGCAGATACATATGAACTAGAGGTAAATATGGCTATTAAAAACATAATAGACTGGCTTTATTGTAATAATTTACAAATTAATATTGATAAAACTAAAATGATCCAATTTCAAACATCTAAAAGACAACCATTGAATATTAATGTTAAATATAAGGATACAATCATCGAACAAGTAGTAAGTACAAAATTTCTGGGTATAATGTTGGATCAAAATTGCAACTGGAAAACTCATGTCGATTACATTTGTGACAAACTCGACAGATTTGTCTATGCAATAAAAAGATTACGAGTCACGGTATCAACTGAAGCTGCTCTATGTGCATATCACGGTTATGTTTCGTCCGTACTCTCATATGGTATTTTATTGTGGGGCAACTCGGTGGATATAAAAAAAGTGTTTAGAGTACAAAAGAAATGTGTGCGTGCAATCTATGGAGCCTGGTGTACGGATAGCTGTAAGCCTTTGTTTAAAAAGTACAATATCTTGACATTACCATGCTTGTACATTAAAGAAGTATGCCTATTTGTAAAACAACATCCGGAACACTTTGAAAAGCATATAGATGTAAGTAAACGAAATGTAGCTCCTAGAAATAAACATAAGCTCTATTTACCTCAATGCAGACTAGAATTGCATAAAAGGAATTCTTATGTAAATGCTATAAAGGTATATAACAAATTGCCCAACTCATTTAAAGAATTACCTTTAACCATGTTTAAAAAAAAGTTGACACAATGGTTAAAGGAAAAATGTTTTTACGACTTCAAGGAATTTATATCTTATTGCGAAAAATAAATCTGACATCAGTAATATTGATACATATATAGGTAACTAACTAGTACGTTTATTACATGATCTAACATTTTAAAAATTTTCATTTAAATTGACATTATAATTATGACTGCAATTAATTAATTTGTTTTTAATAATTATAAATGTATACCTTACTAAATAATCTGACATTTTAAGATTTATCGTTTGAATTGACATGATAATTTTGACTTCAGATAATCAATTTGTTTTTAATAATTTCTATTTTCTGTTTAAATAATTTTTTGCATGTATACCTATAAAATGTTTGCACACCATATGTAGTGGTAGAATGTAAATGGGCCATTAGATATAATTTAAGATCATACTTTATTGTACACCTACATTCTGGCAAATAAAATTAATTTGAATTTGAGTAAAACAAGGCCAAACTCAGCACACCTATTTCTACTCTTCGAGGAGTTCCAGTGGCATTCACCGAAGTACACCTTCAGGTCGCTCTATTAAGTCCGGAGGTAAGGTCTCATCATAACTAACAAAACGATGCTAAACTCGGCACACCTAGTTCTACTCTTCGAGGAGTTCCAGAAGTTCCAGTAGCATTCACCGAAGTACACTTTCAGGTCACTCTATCAAGTCCGGAGGTAAGGTCTCATCATAACTAACAAAACGAGGCCAAACTCGGCCCACCTAGTTCTACTCTTCAAGGAGTTCCAGTAATTCCAGTAGCATTCATCAAAGTACACCTTCAGGTTACTCTATCAAGTCCAGAGGTAAGATCTCATCATAACTAACAAAATGAGGCTCAAACTCGGCCCACCAAGTTCTAGTATTCGAGGAGTTCCAGTGCCATTCACCAAAGTACGTAAGGTAAGGTCTCATCATAACTATCATAACGGCCACAATCTCGGCACTGGTGGTAGAGCCATGATGCAGCTATATTAGTAGTATAGTTGTAGCACGAATGGGTTGGCTCAACCGGGGTAGGACCACGCTCTCACAGAATACCAGCGTAAAATGGCAGCTTGACACTGCTGTGTGTGTGTGAGTGTAGAGAACCGGAGATCCATTTTACTGGAAAAGGGGCATTCCATCTTAGTCCTCACGGGTGACTACGCATCTGCATTTTGATTCTTTATTGAGGATAAATGTATGTAGATGTTTATGGGTCACAGCAACCACTTACCATCAGGTGGACTGTATGCTCGTTTGTCACCCTATCCTATAAAAACACCTAGTTCCAGTAGCAGATACCGAAGTACACCTTCTGGTGACATAAATCCTACATACTTTTAGCGAAACAAAATATTGTAATAAAAATCTGTGATTATAAAAATAATACCTTGGTCAAGTATGTATCAAATTTAGTTTTTGGAATATTTTGTATTTCTACAGCGATCGATATTACTCAGCACAACCCTCTGTAAACAAACTATACAATAATCCACTCACGACGGCGGTCGAGCCACAGAACACTATTACTCCTACGGGTCGAGCGCGGAGTGACGAGTGAGGCAAAGTGTATTTAGTAAAATAAATTATTACCAGGTTGCTCAAAACACCGAAAATGTCGGGATTTGTCAGGCGAAAAAAAATTATAGCTAAACAAAACAAAATTAAACTGCTATTTACATTCCACGGTTTCCCACTTGGTAGATGAAGAGATTAAAAATAGATTGAGTTAAACAATTGATATTTTCAAAAGTTATCGTATTTACAGTATATATTACTTTGTATTTATAGTATATACTAGCTGTTTCTCGCGACTTCACCCGCGTGTAATATAGGGTTTTAATATTGTACCCTAATCATTTTTCAAAAATATAAGTAGCCGAAGTTACTCCTTATAACATAAACTATCTACCAGTGAAATCCCGTCCCGTCAAAATCGGTCTAACCGTTTCGGAGATTAGTCGGAACAAACAGACAGACAGACAGACAGACAGACAAAAATTATAAAAATTGTGTTTCTGTTATAGGTACCGTATATACTTTTATATGCAATTAGTAAAAAGCTGTTATTTTGACATTGCAAACAGACACTTCAATTTTATTTATTTGTATAGATTACTTTCTCGAGCCATGGTATTATCCTTATTTCTTAGTACGAAAACAACTCGAGCTGGAAACTCACCGGCATCAATGAAATCTTTAATTGGAATTTTAAGTGCTTATTTTACCACTTGCGGTGAAAGTGAACAAAATAAAAAAAACTGGTATGTCTGCATCGCCGCGGACTCTCCCGTGCTACAAACCCTTTTGAGAAAAGGACTGTAACTTATGACAAAAGTAGTCAAATTACAAAACTACGAAAATAAATATTTTGGTGTATAAATTGTACCATGAAAATAACTCTAGATATTAAAGTTAATGCTACTGATGTTCTTTGGTTCGATTTTTTATTTTTTAAAATTAAGTACCAAAATCGAAGACTTTGCTTTCTTCTAACGAGCGCAGTTCGACACGTCGTAAACCGTCGCGTTAATTTCGATATAGCTCATAATTTTACGGCTTTTTAACGATTCCTGACTTTCGACAAGCTCATGTGCGCCTGGTAATTAGAATTCTGTAACAGAGTGGTCCCTTAGGAACCAGGAAGTGATTCGTAAATATACGGAACACGTGTCCTGTCGGGGGAATAAATTAAAATTAGTCTGGTTTATTGTATAATTTTATGAGAGTTTTATGTGCGAACGACATTTTGTTCATCCCGAAATTTAAGACGATGTCAGTCATGTGACACTTTTATTATCCTGTGGAAAGTTTCATATGGTTTTTTTTTTGTTGGAGGAATGACAAACGATGGAGCATATTATCACAATTTAAATAAATAACTTAGCTCTTTAGGGATGCGAATTTTTAGCTATGACTATTCCTGCGTAGTAGATGATGTGATCTTTAATGTGGCCAATAAAACGATATTTTTTTGTGAAAATAGCGAATCCTAAGACTGGTTTTTAATTTAATATAAGTGAAAAACACGATTTCGTCATAGCGACATGGCACTTAATTTTTTTTTTATAGGATAAGGGTGACAAACGAGCACACAGTCCACCTGATGGTAAGTGGTCGCTGTGGCCCATAGACATCTACATCTATCTTCGATTAAGAGTCAAAATGCAGATGCGTTGTCACCCGTGAGGACTAAGATGGAATGCCTCGTTTCCAGTAAAAAGGGTCTCCGGTTCTCTACACTCACCATACGAAACACAGCAGCGTTAAGCTGCTATTTTACGCTGGTATTCTGTGAGAGCGTGGTCCTTCCCCGGTCGAGCCGACCCATTCGTGCTACAACCATAATATAGATGCAGCATGGCTCTACCACGTACAAAAGTCAAGGAACACGGAACTGTGTGTAATGTACATTCCATGCACTTGTTTGATTTTTATATCCATGTAATTGGAACTTTTTAACGTTAAGAAAAGTTCTATTACCTTTATATAAAACGTTTAAACTATCATATATATATATATATCATATTCATAACATGTGCATCATTCATTTGTCCCTTAGAGTAAATAAAAAAAATATTTTTTCTAACTTTATTTTCGAACTAGTGCCCCGACCCGGCATCGCGTGGGTGTGATTTATTATCATCATCATCATCATCATCATTACAGCCCTTCACAAGTCCACTGCTGAACATAGGCCTCTCCAAAGTAATGCCACAAAGCACGGTCCTGAGCCACCTGCTTCCATCGACTTACTGCATGTCTTACCAGGTCCTCACTCCATCTAGTGGGGGGACGCCCTACACTTCATCCGCCGGTACGAGGCCGCCACTCGAGAACCTTTTTTTCCCATCGCTTGTCGGTTCTTCGAGCTATATGGCCGGCCCATTGACACTTCAGCTTACTAATCCGTTGGGCTATGTCGGTCACTCTGGTTCTACTGCGGATATCTTCATTTCTAAGTTTATCACGCAGAAAAACTCCCTAGCATAACCCTCTCCATAGCTAGCTGAGTGACCTTGAGCTTCCTCATCCGGCCAGCAGTAAAAGACCACGTCTCAGTTCCATAAGTCATCACTGGCAACACGCACTGGTTGTACAGTCTCGTTTTTAAGTTTTGAGGTATACCTGATGATTGTACTGTAGTTCTGTGTTTTATTAACTTGGCGTTAATTAGATTTAAGATATAAAAAACATATATTTTATTAATTTTTTAACTCCTCTACAAAAAGTTTCCGAGATTTTCGGATAAAACATAGCCTACATCACTCCTGTCATAACTCTCTTTCTGTTCGTGAAGTTTAATTACAATCGGATTAGCCATTCAGAAGGTTAGCCCGAAAAGACAGGCAGACAGACAGACCGGCAGACAGAAAGACAAACATTTTAATAATGTTTCCTCATGTCTTATTGACATACATACTCGTATAACGCTCTTCAATTTTATTTATTTGTATAAATAATATAAAACACAAGATTTTTCATTCATGACCTTTCTTAATTGGATGAGGGATAATAATTTTCTGCTCAGTAGATGTCGCTAGTTGACACTGGGGTAAAGTTTGTTGTTACACAACGTCATCTACTTGAGAAGTTAGTTTTAAATAAAAGTTTATCAGATTCTAGAGTATTATATTACACAAAACAATGCCTCATGCCTGGTTTGCTCTTTAATTTTTTGCACATTTTAAACTTTTTTTAATTTTTCTATTTTTATGAATATTTGTGGTTTGGTTTATTTATTTTTACGTTTTTTTACGATACGTGTTTCTAAATCTACGTGCATGCGCGCGCGCGCCCTGTGTGTGTGTGTGTGTGTGTGTGTGTGTGTGTGTGTGTGTGTGTGTGTGTGTGTGTTTTAACTTGTGAAATTAACTTCCCCGTTATGAAATCTGTCAAATATTTTACGGGGTAGAGCCATGCTGCAGGTATATAACTGGTATAGTTGTAGTACGAATGGGTCGGCTCAACCGGGGGAGGACCACGCTCTCACAGAATACCAGCGTAATATAGCAGCATAACGCTGCTGTGTTTCTTATGGTGAGTGTAGAGAACCGGAGACCTTTTTTACTGGAAACGAGGCATTCCATCTTAGTCCTCACGGGCGGGTGACAACGCATCTGCATTTTAATTCGTAATCGAGGATAGATGTAGATGTCTATGGGCCACAGCAACCACTTACCATCAGGTGGACTGTGTGCTCCTTTGTTACAATTGTTATATAAAAAAATACCTCACTATTAAGTAGCGCTGCCCTGGTGGCAGAAAAAGCAGTGGATGCCCTCATTAGGGCTGTAGATTGTGATTGAATAATTCTAATTTTTACGTGGTAGCGCCACGCTGTAGATATAATTATTATGGTTACAGCACAAAAGGTCGGCTCGACCGGGGAAGGACCACGCTCTCATAGAATACAAGCGTAAAATAGCAGCTTAACGCTGCTGTGCTGTTGTGTTCTCTACACTCACGTATGGTGACCTTTTTTACTGAAGACGCGGCATTCCATCTTAGTCTTTAGGGGTGACAACGCATCTGAATTTTGATTCATCGCAGAAAAAAGGTAGATGTTTATGGGCCACAGTATCCACTTACCATCAGGTGGACTGTGTGCTCGTTTGTCACACCTATTCTATAAAAAAATGCGACGTAGATTACAAGTGATACCTACTGAAAGTCATTTATGCTTTTACTACTGGTTCCGAAAAATGGCGGTTTGAAAATAAAAGCTAACCGCCTGGCCTTAAAACCATCACAGCTCAAACATATTGATGGTTGGAATGATTAATTTTAAATGGCGTTATTACCAGTGTCCTGTAAGGCATGCGCTATGAGCCTAAATTCATCATTAAATATGTTATGGAGGCCTCAATGGGGACTCCAACACTAACTGTATATATAATATAAATTATGTATAGAGCTTGCATGAGCTTTCGTCGCGTCCGTCACCATTTCCTGCCTCCGGTTAAGGAAGTAAATACCGGGACGTGCATTTGAATAGGGCTGGCACAAAAAAAAAGGAACTATATGATTTATAATCTTTTTAAATTTTGAATTATATTTATATCAACAATTGTATTAATTAATGGTATATGATCTTATCTGTTTCAATGTAAAAGAAATTACCAAGTATGTTTCTCACCTATGTACGACGCGGCGTGACATGCATAAGATATGGTTCTTCCGATAAATTTATTATTTCTATATATAAGAATCAATTTCTGTCCGTTAGTCTCGCTAAAACTCTAAACTGACTTAACAAACTGATTAAATATTTGTGTGTGTTTGAGTGGATGGTTTAGATTCACAATTGGAAACGGTAGTTATTTGCCATAATTGCAATATTTGGCACTGCAGTTTATTATTTTTTAGTTTACGTGTTTCGTTTGGCCAGGCATTTAGGCCACGCCTATATTATGTTAGAAAATTTAATACGCGGTAGACCCTCGGTCCAGCTTTATTATGATTGAAGCACAAATCGGTGTGTTCGAACGAGTTCGCTCTCAAAAATACCAGTGTAAAATAGCAGTATAATGCTGCTGTAATACATATTTGGTGGGTGTAGAGAACCGAAGACACATTTTACTGTTAACGAGGCATTAAATTTTAGTCTTCTATATTTTGATTTTTAATCAATGTTTTTTTTTTATAGGACAGGGGGCAAACGAGCATGCGGCTCACCTGATCGTAAGTGACTACCGCCGCCCATGAACAACTGCAACACCAGGGAGGGAATTGCAGATGCGTTGCCGGCCTTTTAAAAAGGAGTACGCTCTTTTCTTGAAGGTCTCTAAGTCGTATCGGTCCGGAAAAATCGCTGATGGTAATCGATTCCACAAGAAAGTCGTGCGAGGAAGAAAACATCTTCTAAATCGCACAGTGGTGGACCGCCAATCATCCAGATGGTGTGGATGGTATCGGGATCTAGGAATAATATGTGGGTAATTATAAAAAACATATTTTTGTTATTTCTAAGAAAAATATGTGGGTAATTATAAAAAAATATTTTTTTTTATTTCTAAGAATAATATGTAGGTAATTATAAAAACATATTGTTGTTATTTATAAGAATAATTTGTGTGCTGCAGACGACTTAAAATACCAAGTTTACAAAAACTCTTATTGCTCATGAAAATTATAATATGTTTGTCGAAACTAGCAGCAATACGTCAGGAAAATGTTAGTTGTTAAAAATAGTAAAACTGTGAGGCAATAAAACAGCGCAACTGCACTATACAATCAGTATAGGAAATTAAATTTCGATTTAGTAATTCATGTATTCGCTTTACAACAAAATCCAAGAAAATATACAAATATTGTCAATAAAAAAATTTAAATGTTTTATTAAAGAAAAATTATACCAAAAAAAGGTTATTGTAATATCAAAGAATACATAAGTGAAAAAAAAACCCTGGGAATAAGGTGCTAGCCACCATGCTGGTTCTATTAAAACTCATTTAAAATTTTTGCAAACAAAAAGCAAAATTATTGTAACGTGAAATATGTTTAAAAAAAGTCCCGCTGGGTTTCTTGCTGGTTCTTCCCAGGACAGAGGTAAATAAAAAAATGACTTTCAATAAGTATTACGTAATAATCTCTTTTGAATAAAAAATATTCTATTCTATTCTATTCGATCATACTGTATTCTTCTACTCATTGGTGTAACGTGAAGGATATAATTACATAATAACACCTAAGTATGCAACCAACAGCATCATTATCCATCTCAGTGTAACACAGCACAGCCTCTCAGTAATACTATCCTCCTTGCCTGTGACAGAAGAATCCCACATAACCACGCAGCCGGCTGCGTGGTTATGTGGGACTCACTATGAAACCTAAGTGCCTACCCACTAAACACCACCTGGGGATGGCTTAGGCCTGGAGGGCCTTTCTGCCGTATCGGAAGCGACCCCCTTAGGGAAAGGGGCCGCAGATATCCCGCCCTCTGCACCTACACTGAATTTTATACTGCACAAACGAGTGAAGGCGGCGGGGGGGGGGGGGGGGGGGAGTTCTCGAAATACCCTCCATTCCAACTCGTCACCATCGGTATGACGCTCCACTAGAGTGACGCAACCTCACTCTCGATCCAACCGGTATTTTATAGGCGCGCCTACATATTTTTCTTATTGTGACAACCCTTAGAGCACCGTATGTGTCGCTTAATAATAATGCCATAGTCGCCATATTGCCATTACCTTTTTTGTCAATGGACGAAATACTTCTCACATACTAATACTATTCGGCAAAACACAATACTTATATATAGCCATAGTATGTATATCCTATACTTATAAGTCAGTAATTCTTGTATAAACAAGTATGTATATATATTTGTTTTGTTTGTTTGTTTAAAAAAAAAAACGTTACCCCCACACTAGGATTTTCTCCTATAGACATTTAAGTTGGCCAAGAGTTTTATTGCATACGTTACTAATGGTTTCCTAATGAATTCTGATATTTATGCGAATGTCACACGTGGAATAAAACTAATTTTACGGATTTTATCGTATTTAATTTTTACCTATTCCCGACGTATCGGGCACTTAACTAGCACCCATGGTCACGAGGAGGGACTGAGGTGTTTGACGTCCCGATGTCATAGTTAACGAAAGCTAAATTCAGCTTATAATTAAACATGTTAATATTAAACGCGGTAAAATCCGTAAAATTAGTTTTACTCCATGGTATTTTAATATTGAATTCTACTTAAATCACAGAATAAATAATACCTTAACTCTACTTGATTTTTTATCAAAATTTTATCACACGCTTAAAGGAAATTTGGCAAACTTGACTGTAGATAAAATAAAATAAACACTCACGCCTGCACCCAGAGGGGTAGGCAGAGACCATGTACTTCCATTTTGCACGATCCTGAAACCCCTCTCTCGCTTCCTCCACATCCATATACCTACGCATACACGCTCGTCGGTTAAAGGTACTCTTACTCTTGATTTGGCCCATTTTCAATATATCGCCAATTTGGTCGATAAACTTTCGCCTAGGGCGTCCCTTCCGGACTCTGCCGTTCACCTCTGCAACATAAATTTGCTTTGTCACTCTTTCCTCATTCATTCTTTCTACATGGTGAAACCACAGAAGCATTCCTTTCTTAATCCTGGTCACAACATCATCTTGCAAAGCACACTCTTCTCTTATCAATTTATCACTCTGTCATTCAGATTCATCACTAACATACTCTTTAATGACCGCATTTCTGCAGCATTTATTCTACTCTCGTGCTTCTTCTGCCACACCCAGTTTTCACTACCATACATTATAGTAGGGACTAACACAGCATTGTGAATTGCCATATGTGCCTTTTTGGACACATTCTGACTTCTCACAATAGGGTGTAGAGCCCCATTCACTCTATTTCCTGCGTTCACTCGTCTTTCTATATCCTTATCATATCTGCCATCCCTGCTAAATTAACATCCCAAATACACAAACTCATCTA